CCCCAAGTTTTTCTGCAGAAAATGTCTGCTCCCCCAACTAGCCCCCAACCTTGTAAATCTCGAAAGCTCCCGTAGCTCTAAAAATTAATGTATATAAATTTGCGTCTAAAATGAAATGTTTTGGTTGATGCACTAGGACGCAGCAGTGTTTTCATTCTCATTCTCAGTAGACTAGCAAGAAATGAAAATATTTTAAGACAGAATACAACAGGCTTAGCCATATTCGTATACAATCCTCCCGTTTTTCCCTGAGCCAAACTGATAAATAATCGTATTCACTATACGTTGTTAAGTGCGACACAAATATTTAAACTGTAAGATGTTTGTTTGTTTGTTTGTTTGTTTGTTTGTTTGTTTGTTTGTTTGTTTGTTTGTTTGTTTGTTTGTTTGTTTGTTTGTTTGTTTGTTTGTTTGTTTGTTTGTTTGTTTGTTTGTTTGTTTGTTTGTTTGTTTGTTTGTTTGTTTGTCTGTCTGTTTCTCTGTCTGTCTGTCTGTCTGTCTGTCTGTCTGTCTGTCTGTCTGTCTGTCTGTCTGTCTGTCTGTCTGTCTGTCTGTCTGTCTGTCTGTCTGTCTGTCTGTCTGTCTGTCTGTCTGTCTGTCTGTCTGTCTGTCTGTCTGTCTGTCTGTTTGTTTGTTTGTTTGTTTGTTTGTTTGTTTGTTTGTTTGTTTGTTTGTTTGTTTGTTTGTTTGTTTGTTTGTTTGTTTGTTTGTTTGTTTGTTTTATCGTCGTTATGTTGATGATTGTTTTCTGATCTTTCAATCCCGTGATCATGTGCTTCCCTTCCTCTCTTATCTCAATTCCAAACATTCGAATATTCAATTCACACATGAGCTTGAAAACAATTCTTCACTCCCTTTTCTTGATGTTAACGTAATGCGTTCAAACGGCTCATTCACGACCTCTGTCCATCACAAATGCACTTCAACTGGCTTATTCACAAACTTTGATAGCTTCATTCCAATGTTGTACAAAAAAGGTCTCCTCTTCTCTCTTATATCTCGATATTTCAATATTTGTTCTTCTTACTTATCTTTCCAGTCTGAAATGGAAAATTTTAACCATTGGCTATCCTAAAGCACTTATAGATAGTTGCATTAAGACATTTCTTGACAGGATTTATAACACAAGGTCCACACATGTTCCAAGAAAATTATCTACTTTTGCCTTCCTTTCACTGGACATCATGGTCTACATATCCGTACACAACTTAGTAAAGTTCTTGCTTCTGCTTATCCACATCAGCTAACTGATTTGTCGTCAAGTTGCTTTGCGTCGTGTTTTTGAACTAGGCTATATTGCCCGTAGTTTATATTTGAAGACGTCTTTAGTTAATAATTAATGTCTGAGACGATGTGGTCGTCAATAGAAATACGGGAAATTGGACGGACGAATAAAATAATCAAAATATTTATATTTTTTAAAATTCATGCAGGTGAATTAAAACTATCCTTTTCACGTTTCATCTGAAAACACTTCTACATTCCCTCAAATTTGCTTCGGAAAAGATTATGATAAGGCGCTTGCCGGTTGGAACTTATCCAACCTAGAATCTCTTTATTTCGGGCACTCCCTTCGCCGTTTACGTTATGTAATAATAATTAGCTTTGTTTCTTGGGTAGCCTGGGTGTTCCACGTGTTGTTCACATGCTCGAGTTAGAACGACAAGGACTTACAAGGAGTAGGGTGGGTCCACTTCAGTTTCATTTTCGGAATCCGATTCAACGCGGCGTGAACGACTGGGGACGAGTTAGACCAGTTGGCCAATTTTCACGATTTTGAAGCCCAACATTGAAAGACTTCTTTAAAACCAACTGAACTATCTATTACCAATCAAGAAAATACATGCAACGCGTAAAATCGTTATATCCGAAGCATTGCTCTTCTTCACGTTCGCACTTCTTACTACTCGCACAGTCTTTATTGTCGTCAAACAAATTTTCGTTTCCTGGACTAAAATTACTGACAATCACAGCTCACGACCAGCCTCTGTGGAAAACAACGGCGAAACTTACGTAATATTTTGCAGATTGAGGCGTTGTGGGGGGAACGTGATTTTCTTTCTCCATCCCTTGTTATCCCCAATCATTCCCCTATATAAGTATCGCGTAATTCTGCCTTTTGCCACCTGTTGCCCGCGGGGCAGCTGTAAATCACGTTCCACAACACAAACTGATATGGGCTGAGGCAAATGTGAGGCAAATATGAAGCAAATGTTGGCCAAATTTTACAAAAGGATGCAGTCTGGTCTGAACTACCTGAACAATGTATCAAAACAGGACGGCCCTTCGCTTGAAATGTCGAGTGTTTTAAATCTCCCTCAGGGGTTGGTTGTACGAAGGCCTGTGTCACAGGAAATTTATCTCCCCCCCCCGGAAATTTGGCCTTCGCGGGCCAAATTTTGTAGGAAGTATGCCCCACCGGTGCCCATATTTCCTATGAAATTTGGACCCCTCTTCAGAAATTTGTCCCCCTCCCCCTCAGAAACATGGATCGTATATATTAATTGTCAAAGATATGCTAATAAGAGATTCACTTTCATGAATTATATTTGTTCAATCCTTAACCAAATTTCCGAAGAGGTACCCAAATATCCTAGAAAATATGGCCCCCATGGAGGCAACATTTCCTAGAATAGTGATTGCGGTGCCCTAGCGAAGTTTATACGCATCGCTTTGTATTCGCTGCGACGGCAGTCACGCTGCAAAAGTTTGATGCTCTCTTAGACTTAGGCCGTGCGGCAAATTTCACGAACTTACAATCTCCCTCATTTTATTCACAACACCAGGTCTGCTGCTAGTTTGCTCGGAATGAGACTTCCGCCATGTTTCTCTCTCTCTGTGTCTAGTTCAGAACATAAGCTTATTACACTGATCTGAAAGGTCAAGCTAAGTGTCTTAAATCCTAATTTTCTGTTTTCTTCGTCGTCGAGAAATCGAGTTTGTGTTAGCGCATCGCAGGCTCAGTTTTCATTCGTTCCAGTTTACTATACAGATCAATTTTCAAGATGGCGGCCATTCATTTCAATCTCAAACAATTTCTTCATTTGTCAACGAATTTTACCGCGTTTTTCTGTGGATTTCGTGTTTATCCTACTTTGCACTTTCAAGTTGACTTGATGGTTTTTTGTGTAACGTCTCTGGAAATGCGACATCTGGATCGCTGAGTTTTTCGAGTTTATCACTCATTACTGATGGCCTGGCCACTGTGGGAATCGAACCTACGACCGTTAAACCTACGACCTGGAATACTAACCGCTCTGCCAACTGAGTACGCGGTCAGGTCGGTTCGAGTAGGTGATATTTCTGTGGAACTGAGTCTAGTTCGTTCGACATCAATGTAGTCTAATAATAATTGAGTGTTGTGGATCTATTGTGGGATATTATAGTATCCATGATAGTATCTCACGCTGCATTGCGAAATCATGAATTTGAGTGAAATACCGTAAAAAATCACATTGTCACGTGGTACAAATTATGTTTTTTCCATTGGACAATTTGAATTTGAGGTATAACATTTTTGCATAGGCCCACCCACTCATGCGACGCCACGCAATTTGCGGTTCACAATTTGTATTCCTTGTCTGTTACATCACACACGGATGTCGTCATTTTCAGGTCAGTGTGAACGCCAGACACGCCTGAACTACCCTGGATCAGGGGGTTTCCTGTTTTGCTGAAGTTGTAGCCTGCAATCAGGCGGTGCTGGCCAAATTGGAAACCCCCTGGGCGCGATGTGTTGATTGATTGAGTTCGCCCAACCAATCAGATGCCTAGGGTCAGATTTTGACCCTAGACATCTGATTGGTTTATCGGGCCTTATCGGCAAACATCAATAAACGTTTGCTGTATTCTATTCTATTTATACTGTTCGACAAGTGAGTGCATTTCGTTAACAAAAAGCGATTGTTCGTGGAAACGTTTATGAGGAGAATTTGTTGGTTGTCGTCTCAGATGAAGTTCATGTTATTCCTAAACAGTTAGATCAATTAGCGTCATTGCAGACATATTAATATCACGCTATGATGATGCGATGATTCTGTACATATGTCGAGTAATTGACTAAATTGAGCGGAATTTTGTCGTGTGTATGTGGTCGTGTTGTGCTGTACAGCCTGTACTGTATGCTGTACTGTGTATGTTCAACTGTTTTTCATGTAGTTTGTTGTTTTAAAATTGTGTAGCCCGTATTGTGGAATTCATGAATATTTAGGCCACTATTTGTTGTATATTAGTTTCTCATCCGGAGCTTAACCTAAAGTTGATGCGGGCGGGCGGGCCATTACCATTATGCCATTATTTGCCGGTTTCCCCTCTCCGTAAAATTTACCTTTGAAAAAGTGCGTATTAAGCATTTATATAGTGCGTACCGGAAAATGTTTAGTTTTTAGTTTAGTTTAATTAATTCGCCAGTAAATTACAATGACATATATACACAAGTTTACCAAACAGACGACTGGCAGGAGTTAGATACAGGACTAATGTCCCAGTTGCCATCCTACCCCTATACATCAATACAATACACTAAGAAATATTCACGCAGGTAAGCAATACGTAGCTAATTTATCGAAGTATAGGTTAGTGATTTTAGTCTTAAATAAAGTAATTGAATTACAAGATTTTAAATTAGAA